CCGTATACATAATCATTTTTATGCGCGTATTACGAGCGTTTCGTGTTAATTTCGTGTTAGATTACGGTTTAAAGTGCTACTTTCAGTAAAAACGAGGTTTCTTTCTCTTTTTTCCGCTTTTTTGCTTAATTATAGCGACGGAAGTTGCTTCGGTCCTTGCCACATATACCGTATACTCGGTTTTCTACAAACAACATGATTAATTGCCACTCCCAGCTACATCATACTCGCGATTTCTGCACAATGTCGCGACAAGCTTCATTTAGCTTTCTTATGGTGAGTTTTCTCCGTGACTCGCTTACTTGTTCTTTCATAAAATTTCACACAATTTCATGTCACGATGCCTCCGTGCGCTAAATTATCCCTACAATAATCGTTATTTTGATCAAGTTCCTTGGTAATTTTCTACACGAAAGAAGCGGAGATGACTGTCTTGTATAACGATTTCTATTGCGAAATAATAAAAATGTCATCAAATTGAGTGAATGCTACTTTCGAAAAGTGTCACATGTCAAAGTTATCGCTTCGTTGTGAAATAACGGAAGAGACAAACGTTTAGCTTGCTGCAAAGAACTTCCTTTTCTACCACCAGTTTTGCTTGCCTAGTATGCAAATACGTCGATGATGATAAAAACCGAAGTCTTTCAAGAAACAAAACGCGTTTTCCTTTCTCGTAGAGCATGGCTGATTTTTTACAACCGAAACACAGAATAGTCCCGTAACGACTAGTGGACCACACTCACCCTTTACTTCGTCCTCCGAATAAATTCTCTCCCCGCCCTCCATCTCTCTCTCTCTCTCTCTCTCTCTCTCTCTCTCTCTCTCTCCTCTCTCTTTCTTTTTCTGGCTCTTGCCCCACCTTTTACCCCATGAATCTCTCAAGGCTCGAACAAAGGACCCAAATAAATACAAATAGCGCTTTCGAACAATGGACACCGGTGCAGACCTCCGCCTATGGCGTTGTCTACGCAACCCTCTCCTCATCCCTTCTCTCGTCTACCGTTCGTTTATGTAACTGCGAGAGCGAGAGGAGGGAGAGAGAGAAAGGGAGATATTTCGAAGATAACCTACGTGCAAAACGGAATATCGAGCACGATAGGCCTCTGTCATAATTGGCTTTGCCTCGGTGTATCGGTCTCACATTATGCCACGGCGTATATTAGCATATTCGGCTGAAGATCTCTTTCGTCACGCGCATCGCTAGGTATACTCCTTCAGGAAGCGCGGGACCGCCGGTTACTTCAGCTTGACGAAGGAAAGAGATAGAGATAGAGAGAGAGAGAGAGAGAGGGGAGGGGGAAGGCAAGAAAAACGTTACGTCGTTGAGATTTTTTAATTATCGTCCGACTACTAAAATAAAGCGCGTTCGCGTTCTTGCGCCAATTCGCAGGTCTTTTACCTCCCCTTTAAGTACTACTTGTGACATCAAGAAGCGGTAAAATCTCGCGTTAAGTACGCAGTAAATAAGTCGTTTTGCGTAGATAATGGAAAAACTCACGGCAATTTTACTGGAAGATTACCATGTAAATAGAAATAGCTCGTAATTCTCTCTATATTATGTATACATATATTTTCAATTTTTCAATTTTTTCTGTGTGAGAGCAAAAATATCTAATAAAGAAAGAAATATTTATTCGGTGTGTATTATAATAACATGTTTACTTATATACATTAATATAAAATATTTTTCAATATAAGCAAATAAATATTTTCTTAAAATCTTAGCACGTTAGTAAAAAAATAAACATTTAACTATGTTCAAAATATTTTACATTACATTACAGAGACTATTTGTTGGTTATTTTGAATAAAATATTTAAACAATAGTGGCACACAAATAAAGTTGTGCTGTTACATGTGAATAATTTTTTAATACTTTATCTATAATGCTTGGCGTAAAACATATTTCATATTGCAGAGATCGTCTACTCGTCGTTTTGAATGAAATATTTTAAACAAAAGTGGCAATAGAATTGGCCGCGTGCTATTATAGTAATTCGTTTCACAAAGCCCGTGCGCGACTCGCGCGGATTCACGTTTTCTCCGCGCTTTTGTTTTTCCCCGCGCGACGTTTTTTCTCCTCTTTTATGCAGATCAGATACGGGTATGGGATTACAGTTCCAGGGACGGCTGCACTTTTGCCAGTCAGGCTGGTTTTGAATAATTCCTTTAGAACCCACTGACACGGTGTCACCTGGATGAATGGAATGTGAGCGACCGTGAGAGAAAGAGAGAGAGAGAGAAAGAAGAGAAAATTGCAAATTATAAAGAGCGAGCTCGCGGTAAAACAATATTTACATTTACAACGCCCTGCAATCTGACGAAGGTACGAAGAAAGTATTAATAAGAGCGTCCAATCTCTCTCAAACTAATTCTATTGTTTGATCTATCGTTCGGATGCGCGTTACACTCGCATTTTGACGCAGTCTTGACAATTTGTTGATTAAATGTTTCAATCTACAGGATAGTGAATATTAATTACTTTAAAAAATTTGAGAAACGAATATTGAGAGAGATATATATCCTATGAATAAATAAAGGCATACAGGATACACGATGTCATTCATGAAAAAGAGATCGTTGCTTTTAGCATTAAACGATAAACCGAATTATTTTTAACTCTAATTACAATTTCGAAGTAGGAAGAATTAAAGTGATGCTATTATTCAGTTCGGTTCGTCTCGGCTCGGCTTTAAAATTATCGTACAAGTGAAAAAAATGTTTCAGTATTTGTAACTATAATTGCACAGAGAAATAATTGCTACAAAAATTATAATCAAAGAAACTATTTTCTCATTAAATTTTTCTATAACGTTAGTGATAATAACTTGATGTTATGTTACTACTATTATTTCGGTGTTAGAATAACCACGAAAGATGGCTGAAGCCAAAATTAATGATAATTTTAGTTATTAATCTTTTCTTCTTCCTTCAGTGTATCCTTCTTTTGCTTCCTAGGCCGACATTTCCGCCTATCTTTATATCTGTTGCGTTCTAAGTTCGCGAAATTTTATCGTGTGAAATGATTGTATGCAACGCGAGAAACGCGCAAGGGACGTAGGTAATGAAGTGTGGGTGTCACATTACAGAGACGAGAGAGAGAGAGAGAGCTCCGTTGTGAAATTTCCGACGGCAAAAAGCCGACGAGCGGGCAGGAGGTCGCATCCGTTTTCAATTCGAGGTCAATGGCGCTCGAGGGAGACTCGAAACTCGGGCGAACGATGGGTCTGTTGACCCCTAAGATTTTTTACTCGGCCGTAGGATGAAATCGGACTACCCTGTCATTAGCATACAAAAGTCTCGGCTGCGGGCCGAGCGGTTTGCACAGCGCGCCGGTTAACGACAATCATTACGGGAGACTGGCGAGTCCCTTCTTCTCTCTCTCTCTCTTTTTCTGGTTGTTTCTCCTCACCCTCTGTGGTTGTTCTTTAACGTTCGCTCCTTCGTCGCGCGATTATACTTCCGCATTCACCTCGTCCGGTTAATGATCATTCCGCGGCGTTATGTTAATCACTGAACAAAGCCGACGACTGTTTGTACATACTCTGCTCTCAAAACACGCAGACAAATTTTCTTTTTTTACGACACTTTTATATTGAGAAAAAATGTTCAGATATAAGCCATCGTCTTCATGAACATTTACTGTTTACTTTTATTTGAGTGAAGTGCCTTTATATTAGGTACACATAAAAAAACACATCATATGTTTATGTTAAAGATTTATTTATTCTAGGATATAGTACTGAATTGCGAAATATATATATGCCAGTGAAACGAAACGTTAATAAAGTTTGCTTTATTTGATAAGGGTTGCGACAAAAACTATTACATTGAGAGAGAGAGAGAGAGAGAGAGAGAGAGAGAGAAAGAGAGGAGGGGGGGGAGAGAGCAGACGCAAAAAACAATATCCGCGACTATTCCCAAGCTTGTTGTGCCGCGGCCACAATAGACACGCTACGAGAGCAGTCTCGCCAGGAAACGTCATCGTCGCGGAGGAACGAAGGCGTCCGTTTTTTCGTGCACTCCCGCGTTTTTGTCTCCGCCGCCGGCTGAAAGGGTTGTTGCCTCGGAAAGAGCGCGACGGGAAAAGAGAGAAGGAGACACGGAACGACAGGAGAGGCCCGAAGCGACGAGACGGAAGCTGTCGAGACGTATGGGAAACTGGCCCGAGGTATGCAAATCTGAGACTCGTGGAACGAGCAGATCGGCGGGAGCACAGAGGGGTACTTTCGCTACGACGAGGAGAAGAAAATAAAAAAAGGAACGCGGCAACCTTCGCGCCGGCATTGTGCTTGTGTCTCACAGTGGACGAGTGGCACCGATCTTATGTAAATCGCAGCCGCGCAATCAAAGACTCGCATCACTTTGCCGTCGGACCCTTCCTTGTGTGTTTACGTTTCGATCTTCTGTCTGCGCTGCACTCGCGACGTCTCGACCGAATAATGCATTCTTACCGCTCAGGACTGTTCCCAGATGGACAGGTGTACGTAAGTTTGGCGGCCACCTTATACCAGTCGACTCGTAAAGGTTGCATCCACTTATGAGTAGTTCGTGTAGTTCATTCATGTTGTATTTCTATTTCGCCACATAGAGCGACCAGATAGAAATACAAAAGAAATCATCGATTTTCTCACGTCGTGATAATTATGAAAGTCTACCTAGATTGTTGCGGCTATTACTGAGATGCGGCTATTACTGAGGCTATTACTGCATAATTGGGCGAATGAAATCTGATCGGTGCATTTGGATTTTTTTTTATTGTTATGGTTTAATTGTCGGATTCCATTCTGTCGTCCGAAAACAGATGATCGTTCTACTTGCCGTTTCTACTTGTCGATTAGATATAAAGTTCATGATCGCTAATTATATGTGATGGAACACTTACCTAGTTTCAATTCGACGCAGGCGCTGAATTATTGTTGCATGACATATTATGAATAAATATTGAGAAAAAGATTAATATACGTAATAGGTTTAGATAATTACTCGTGTAAAATACGTTTACCGTTTTAAAAGCATCTTTATTTGACAAATTATGATTCCATGGATTAAAAGGAAGGGAACATCTCTTTGCTTAAAATTCATTGCTGTTCTTCGTCTTGTTGATAAGCAAGCTGAACATCCACTTCTGTCCCGAGTCGTAAGTGAAGTTCATCGAGAACCGCACATTGAATTTGCTCAACGTTTTCAGGAGGACAGTATTCGTCCTCGCTGGATCTGTTAAAGAGAGAAATAATTTATTTGCTTGTGAATTTAATTGATAACATACTTGCTGTTGATAACATACTTGTGAATTTAATTGATAACATACTTGAATTTTATGATAAAATATTATCAGCTCGCATGATAATATTTCATTGATGAAATCTGTTTTTATTACTTTATACATCTTCTTTTGTTATAAACTCGACCTCACTTATCTCAACTTCTTCAATAAATTAATAATTGTGTAAAGAAAATCTCTCTCTCTCTCTCTCTCTCTCTCTCTCTCTCTTTGTCTATAAAGTGTTTGATAAATTTGATAATCATTGGAAAAGTGACGAAAAGAAAATATTAAATATAGAAATCAGTTGTTAAAAATCAAGCTCTCTTTCTTTCTCTCTCTCTTTCTCTCGTTAAATACCGTTTTCACTTTCTTTTATTTGTATCTATCATCATTTTTGCTTTTCCCTATCGGATTTTTGCTTCCTCTCTTTTTTTTGTCCTCGCTTTCGTCAACTCTTGCTTTCGATCATTTAATCGTCGCACGGCAAATTACAAGAGAGAGAGAGAGAGAGAGAGAGAGAGAGAGAGAGAGAGAGAGAGAGAGAGAGAGAGAGCGAGAGAGAGAGAGAG